CTGCATGCAAGAAGTTGCATTTTGATAACTCCTTATCACATTAAAACGTCTCAAAAAATTACTATCAAGTAATTATGACAGTCTTTATAGGAACAATTTTTCTGGAAAACTGTCAACCAGGAAACTCCTTCCTCTTTTTGAATCATGTGATTTTTTGGGTTCAGCCGTGTATCCAACATATGTGGAAACCCATCATTATGCTTAAGAGCATCTAAACCAAACTGAGACTTCCATGCACCCACCTATACATGGAAATTCTAGAGATGTTTATTGGAATGAATGTGCACTCTCTCCCTGGAGGGACGAATCCTGCTTACCTAATTCTGAAAAGTATTAGGCACAGGTTCGTAAGAACCAAGGCTTGGGGACACCAGAGTGTTCATTGGGGGTACTGCTGGAGTTTAACCAGCTAAAACCACATAGCTTGCCATTGAGAGCACTGCCTGGCAAGCTTTATCACTGCCGGTCCAGCTAGGACCACCCTACCATTAGGGCTTTCACTTGCAGGGGTAACAGGAGCTGAGTAGAAGAATCACTGGCCCCAGTGACTAGTCTGCTCTTCTGCCTACCTGTGCTATCATCAGCAGTGCCCTGGAATACTGTGGTACCACTTGGCTCATGAACCAGACTACCAAGACCATCGCTGAGAGCTGACTTGACTCCAACATTCTGTTGTCAAGCATGTCACCTCGGAGCCAGTTCAGCCCCAAAGGGGACCCCAATTACCTCCCACAAAATATACAGTCAATTCACTTTACGGTATAGTCTGTGAAGTGCTTTGAGGTGTCTCAATGACATGATAAGGCTCTATATCAAATGCGAGGATTATTATTATTATTATTATCGCTGTTCATGGGACCTTGCTGTATACTAGTAAATCACTTTGACACGTTCAGCATAATATAGGACTATAAAAAAAGTTCTTCCTTTATTATTGTGTGAAATGCTTCTAGATGTTTTGACGTGATAAGATGGTATAAATATTCCAGTTGTCGCTTTTTATTTTAATAGATTTGTCTCATCGACAAAAGCATCTCGAATCTGTAATATGATACTCGGTCCGTAGATGGCGCCATACACCATATCTTGCATCGAAGGATCTTTGTGTGTCATTCCACTGGTGATTGATCAGTTGTTACCTGCTATCTGTACTGTAGTAATTTAAACAAATTAGGATAAGGGTTAGTGTTATTTCATTATTTTAAAAGATTGCCCGAATACTACTATAACTCACATTCTGATATTTTCTACCATTCACTATTCTACCAGTCAAAATACATAAATAATTTTATAATAATAATAATAATCCTCGCATTCGATATAGAGCTTTTCACGTCTTCTTGACATCTCAAAGTGCTTCACAGAATATGCTGTAAAGTGAATTGACCATACATTTGTGGGCGAAATGCGGCAGCCAATTGCGCACAGATAATGTCCCACAAACAGTCGTGGGTTGAAAATGACCAATTTATTATTGTTTTTTGTTTTGGAGGGATTATTATTTTTGCCCACAAATATACAGTCAATTCACTTTACAGTATGTACCTTGATAGGATAGCTAAATAGGGAAAAGGATGAATTTCTCAGTGAGCAGATAACTGTGGGCAGTGACTTAAGACTTTCTCTCCAGAATCCACGAATCATTTTTGCCTATATGATGACCAAGATCATGGCTGTAAACTGAGTCCCACTCCAAATACAATTGCAGTTAACATTTCTAATGAGTCAGAGAGGAGCCATTAGATCAATATAAAAGACAAAGTTACTGTAGTAGAAGCATCAATGAGGGAAATGAATGGGGAATTCCAGATTTACAGCATGACATAAAACTGGTTATTGATTATTGATCTGAAGCAACGTTTATTTAGCTTCATTTACAGATATTAATTGATTTAACATTAACTGAGGAGAACATTATTTCTGGTAACTGGGATCTCTTTCTTGAAGAGACTTAATGAAGAAATCTATCACCATATTTAAGAGTATTCAAACCAAGATGATGGGGCGGCGGGCGGTTCAACATACGTATGGAACCTACCCATGGAAATTTCTATGTGTCTGGAATTGGATATGCGCTCTCTCTCTCTCTTTGAAAGGACAACAACAACTTGCATTTGTATAATGTCATTCACACGGGGTAGTGTCCTGGAACGCTTAAGAAGGACACATGCTTCTTATTCAATTCTTACCTATTAGGCAGGTTGGTGAGAGCCAAGAAATCTTTTCGAATTCAAGAGCCTCTCAGCCCCTAGGCTCTGGAACTCTATCCGCCAGTGCCTTCGCCTTGCCTCCTCCCTTTCCTCCTTCAAGACCGGTCTCAAGACCTTTTTCTTTGACCGTGCCTTCAGCTCCCCTCTCGACTCTCTACCCACTCCTCGCTCCCTCCCTTCCCTCCCCTCACCTTGACCATTTCCCCCCCAATTCTCGGGTCCTGACCCAACTGTACAGCACCTTGGGACGTCCTCCCGACGTGAAAGGCGCTCTATAAATGGAATCTTGTTGTTGTAGTTGTTGTTTGTGAAAAATATCTTTGTAAGAAATTTTGCCCACAAATATATAGTCAATTCGCTTTACAGCATATTCTGTGAAGTGCTTTGAGATGTCGAGAAGACGTGAAAAGCGCTGTATCAAATGCAAGGATTATTATTATTAATATTATAGCAATAAGGAACTTGCAAGGATAAAATAATGTGTTATAATCTGAAAGCCATTTCTTTTCATATCTGACATGGCTTCTGATCAATGATGCTCACAATAATAATGTGTACTGCAATTGCCCACGAAACACATATAGTCACTACTTTGCAGTGTCTCTTGTGAAGTGCTTTGGGAAGTCCTCTCAATTTGAAAGGTTCTACACCAAATGTAAAGATTATTATTACAGTTGATACAGTACCTTTCATGTCTGGAGGATGGTACATCACAGGAGTTACTGTAAAGTGTATTTTGTAGGCAAACGTGGCCACTGGTGTCCACAAGAGGGAAAAGGAAGAGTAACTTTACCAAAAGCCATTAGGCCCATCTCCAAGTGGGAGTAATTGCCCCACCCCCTTAGTTTTTGCTAAGCATACCTTATATATATTGCTGACCCTCACCTCGATCGATGACTTTCTGGTTAATTTAGTTCTAATGTCGACCTGAATTTCCAGATGGAGCCTTGGTTTAACATCTTCATCTGAAGTACCGGACCTTCAACAATGCAGCACTCCCCCCAGCACTGCATTGATGTGTCAGCCGAGACTACAGGAGTTCAAAGTCCTGACGTGGGCTTGAACACAACCTTATTTATTATTCTTTAATTGTGGGCTAGTGCACCTTGGACAAAAGATTACACTCTTAGAGATAATACTCCCTGAGATATGCAATCTCGCTGTTTGAACTGGCTCTGAGGAAACATACCTGGAAAAGCCAGGCAAATCCACCCTAATCACAAGCATATCTGACTCACTCGAAACTTGTATTGTACGTGTTCCCCTCAACTCTCGGAACCAAAGATCTCACAGAGGGAGAGGTCTTAGGCGGACAAGTCCAATGACACTTGTGAGAGTGTTTTACGAGCTCTGAGGTTACTGCATTTTTTGGAGGTCAGAGGGGTGGGTGTCTGACACATGCGGAAACCACGCCTAAGAGTATCCAAACCAAACTGAGAATTCCATGGATCCCACCGCCACGTGGAAATCCCGGAGAGAGATTGTTGGAGTGGAAATGCGCGCTCTCTCCCTGGAGGGATGCATCCTGGAGGTTGCTGCTCAGGGTAGAACATGTCCCCGGTGTGTGTGTGGGGTGGGGGTGGGGGGGATGGTAACAGAACCGCAATTGGAAATCAAATGGGAGTTTTACCCTCGAAATTGGACTCCAGGTGGCACTGCAGGACAGCGTTTCCGATTCACCTATAAATCACTGATGTTAAATTATCATGTCGTTATAGTTGCACCTCGTATCCTGTCAATTACTGCCAATTACAATTTTACAGCTTGTTTTATATCATTTCTAAATACATTTTGATAAAAGAGTATTGGTGAGCACATGGACCGTGTTACCCACCTGCGCGCTGGAAGCCAATGCACTGATCACATCAGTATTATTGTGAGCCAAACTCGAGCCTTGTTTTACACTGAAGGAATGAGGAAAGTGCCCATCAGAGGCGGAAAGTTCAAAAACCTGGCATTTTAGCAGGAGCGACTCGTGTGTCTTTTTTTTATTGGAAACGTTTAAGAACAATTCAATATGTTGCTGAGGTTGAAAAGAAAGTGTTGGGAGACTGGGGACACCTGAGCCTCTCAGACTGCCATTAAAACATCCCGCAATGTTTTGCAGGAACTGAGATATTTGCAATAAAGAAATGAAACCTGCAAAGAGAGACTGCTGATTAACAGTGAGTTAAATAACGAGGCAGATTCCCAGGACAACACTTTATCACCCGCATGATATTTCGCTAATTCACTGATATAACTACTATTATTATATTATTATTATTATGATGATGATAACACGAGAAATGCTGCCGCCTGTTGTTTTATCAGTTTCCCCCAATACGACTAAAAAGTGTTGCAAAAAATTAGAATTTAAATCTAAGGAGAAATTCTCTAATTTATCGCAAGTCTAAACCTTTTTTGTGTGTTTGAATTTCGTCATTAAATTCATGATTTGGTTCATTTTAAAAAAAACCTTATTGTTGCTGCCCACGTTATTAAAGTTATTTTTTTTCTGGAAAGCCTAAAAAAAATGAAATGCAAAAGAAGGAAGAGGGGTGGTGGGTGGGGGGGGGTGGGGGTGGGGGGTGATATTTCCCTGCGTGTGTTTTTTTTTTACGTGAGTTTTTTCTATCTGGAAGTGTTTGAAGGGGGAAGAGGGAATTCTTATACTCCCTGGATGTCCCTACACAGGAGGTTTTTTTTCTATCTGGGGATCGTAAGGGAAAAGAGTGGCTCCTGATAGTTAGTGTGATTTGGACTCATTCCCTGGAATGGTTACCTGAGTTTCTCTGCGTGTTTTTGAAGGGAAAGAGGGGATTTTGCGATGCCATCCTGACCTTGCGGGGAAGGACTTCCTGAGTGGATCCCTGACGGTGGAATCCCAGGGGGAGCAGAGGAGCGCAGGACTGACCACCCTGACCCCCGGCCAAGTGTCCCAACTCCAGCAGCTCAACACCTCCTACAGGGACAGGTTCCACTTCCCCTTCGTCGTCTGCGCCAGGAAGAGCGACAAGGACACCATCATCCAGCAGCTCAGCCTGAGGGTTCACAACCCCCCCGAGCAGGAGCTCCTCATCGGCATGGAAGAGGTCAAGAAGATCTGCCACCTGCGTCTGCTCGATATCTTCGACCAAGTCAGCCGCCTGTAATAATAATAATAATAATTATTATTATATTATTATTATCATCCTTGCACTTGATATAGCGCCCTATCACGTCGTGGAGCCGTCTCAAAGCGCTTCACAGCATATCCTGCGAAGTGAACCCGACTGTGTGTGTTGCTTATAATAAGAGAAATCAGACACCTGCAAAATAAAAAACTTCGGATTTGTTAATTTCACTCGCAATATACGTATAAATAACGCCCCAAATGACACCGCTTTCCCAGCCTTGGTAGAAGGTGTAGAAGTGTAGTCATATATACACACACACACACATATATATATATATATACACACGCGTATAAACCAATAAATGTATCAACCGTTGTGTTGTATTCCTTTCATTAATAAACACGTTTTTCCAACGTTGAAATGACTGTTTTATTGGCGGCGGTTCGAGTTTATTTACAATATTGTAACAAGCCCTTGAAAAGCTGCCCCCGAATCCCACGGCACACGAAACCGCTCGGCGTAGTTCCCAGAAATAGTCAGAATCCCATTACCCTCAGCACTAAATTGGTAAATGCATCGGTGGAAGTCTTAATACCAACAGCAATAATTATTCCAATGCACCGCGAACATCTTTATTTGGGCTAAAACGAATGCACGTGTTATTTTGGAGAGCACCAGATCTCATTGCAACCGACATAAAAGGCGGAGTGAGTTAGTCAGTCAAGAAGGAGGAATGTGTAGCCGAGGCTATAACTGCTCTGGTTAGTGGTCATTTATCAGGTCGGGGTTGCAGGGGGCAGGACCGGGGAGGGGTTCACAGATCATAGTTGAAATTTATGAAGCACCAATCATGCAATATAACAACAACTTTTGTCAGTTTTATCGCCCTTTTAACTTGGCTTTTTTTCCCCCCACTTCACCGCTTCATCAAATTCGCATCCACAGCGATTTAAAATTCCTCGCTCAGTGCAGTGCAGTGCAGTGCGGGGCGGTGCGGATCCGCCGCAAAGGCGAGCGGAAGGAAAAGGCAGCGTGTTTCAGCAATTCCTTTCAGTGAGATTCCTCTCACGCAGGTTGTTCCTTTCCACCGATTCATGCAAAAGATTAGATTAGGATAAATGGGGAAATTCAGCTGTTTTAGTGAGTGCGTTTGTTTGGAATTAAATCACCCTTTTGGATTTTAAGCAAACGTGAAATAGCGGAGTGACAGCGTCGAACAGATAGATCAGGGTTTAGAGGTTGAATAACTATTTGAATTTGGAAATATTTTCTAAAACTCAAATCTTGTAAGGCAAATGGCGCATAATCAGCCACCCACCGGGTTTGGTTCAGGTTGAATATAATAATAACAATAATAATAATAATAATATTTGAGACATCTCAAATATTTCTTCAAGGCGTTCGATTTTCCTTCAAATGTTGGAGGGGCATTGGTGTTAGCTGTTCTCTGAACACGGGGGGTGGCTGAGGTGTCTGTAGTTAGGAAATATATAAATTATCCGTCGGATACACAACATCAACATAATGTACAATGTCGGATTATATCATACAGCATATCATAACCCACCTCGCAGAACACATTGTGTCAGGCACAGAATATATTAAGATGATTTAACTGAATAGAACCATTCTCTCTCTCTCTCTCTCTCTTTCTCTCTCTGACTCAGATTGTTTGCAAATTGTGTTGGGAAGGTGAACAGTAATACTAATTTGAATAGACACAATAAAGGGTATTTTCTATACAAACCACCCCCCCCCCCCAACCCCCCCACCCCTCACACACATACACACACATACACACACACACCAACAATGTGGAGCGCATCTGAAAGGAGATATATTGTAAGTAGCATTTGGACAACTATTTAGGTATTTTATTTTATTCGCGGGTCACCTCAAGTCTCAGTCTGGCTAAAACGGGTCGGGTAGAATGGATTGTGGTCAAAATCCTGGAGAATAATTTTCAACAGATGACAGTTTTCTCAAAGGTGTGCTTCTAATTTGGAGACTAGTGCATATGCGAGTGCTTCTGATGTGGGCAAACTTTTAAACCACATACTTACACGATCGGGAGAAATGGCACAAACACGTTTCTATGTCTTATTGCTCCGTGTTTCAGCATCAAAAAAATAACTAGAGAGACCTTAGTCAGGACAGATTGACTTGACTGGTGAAGAACATGAAATTGATTTGATGTTAACGTGGGAGCAAGGAATTAACAATTTAACAGTTAATATATATGATCATAATTGCTCATCCAAATTGGTGTTTCTGTAATCGGTTTCCACGCAAATACTTCTCGCAAATTGTTCCGACTGCGCTTTTCTGATTTTAAATGCTAATAATTAAAAGATTGCTTTAAGTTTGTCCCGTTTTAGAGCAAATACGAGTTATTCTGCAAAATAGGTCTTACACCAGTTGGCTTTTGGCTTCGGAAGTTTATCCAGTGAACTCAAGTTAGGAGCTTCGAAATGCCATCCTGACCTATTTGTTGTTGACATGGAATCTATGATATGTTTATCATTTCCAATGACTATATATTGTGTGTAAAATCTTGGGGAAACTAAGTCGACTTCCTTTTTAATTGTCACTTTGAAACCATCCGCACGGAAGGAACGTCGATTTGCATTAACCGAAAGGTCTCTCCACAAAGAGCGCTTCACCTCCAATAAGTCACGGGTGTAAAGTCTCCTGAATCGTGGCGTCTCGGTAATATAAGGGCAATCCTTCCATCCGCTTTTTGCCATCAGAACAATCAGGTTTCGTTTGACCTCAGTAGCAATACTTTTAGTGTCTGACCTACAAGTTGTAACTGGACTTCACTTACTCGACTTCCAGTACCAAACCTGCTCAGGACACGTCAAGTGACTGGAACAACACGCCCTCCTTAACAGCAAAAGCAGAAAACCATCACATTGAGTTTTTTTTAGTAGAATCCCTCTGTGTCAGTTCGCCCTGCACTTTGCAATCTTGACCCCATATTGCAAAACACTCGGGTAAAGCCCAGAGATGAATGTATGTCCCAACTCAAGTTGGTCACAAGACATATATCATTCTGGAACCCACAGGATTCTTGACTCTTTTAAGTCGTGTTTCACTTTCCCACTGATGATATATATATATATATATATATGTGTATATGTGTGTGTGCAGAAGAAGTGGAGCACTTGACGATATTTGCAATTCACATTTTATTGAGAATAATGGCCCCGACATTTGACACAGACCCTCTCGCGTCGGGTCGACGTCTTAAAGCGCTTCACGGGTTTGAATGCAAAGTGTGAGGATTGAAATTTGGGGGTAGCGAATGCGGCAGTCAATTTGCGCACAGGATTGTCCCGCAAACAGCCATGAAAGTGAACGATCAATTTTAGTATTAAATTGATACGCAGTGCTGTCGTCGAATGGCTATTACCCACACGTCGTTTTTGATGCAGTTTGAAACCAACAGAGGTATAAAGCCGCTGAGATCCTTCTCCCCCAACATATATATATACATATATACATATATATGTTGGGGGAGAAGGATCTCAGCGGCTTTATATATATATATATATACCGATAGTGAGATGCCGCCGCAATTTTTAACCCAATGAGACCCGACTCCCTGTGAGCGCTTCACTTTACTTCCAGAGCGAATGAATCAAAACTTTTTAACCCGAGATGCGTTGTGTGTGAGTGAGTGTGTGTGAGTGAGTGAGTGAGTGAGTGAGTGAGTGTGTGAGTGAGTGTGTGCGTTACAAAAAAAAAACTTTCTGCACATGATTAATGATTTTACTCCCGAGGAGCGACGAGGTTAAAGTGCGGAAGACTGGGACGTGTTGAGGAGGAAGCTGGACACGCAGTGCCGGGTTCAATGGGCAGGTCTGGATCTGGTCGCTCCCGTCTCCTTATCTTTTTAAATGCAAATCTTGGCTCGGACGAATCAGTTGACGTCACCTGGGTTTAGTTTACCATTACTAATAGAGCCGTGTAAACCATCCCTTAACCATGTGGGACACGGGCGGCTCGGCCTGATCCGCGCTGGAGGGACACACTCACCCACTCACACACACACACACACACACTCACTCACACTCAACACTCACTCACTCAACACTCACTCACTCACCAAAGGCGAACCAGGAAAAAAGATCCCCCACCCCCCCCCCCCCCCCCCCCCCAAAAAAACATTCGGGATCTCGGGATCCGGATTTCTCCCGAAGGCCAAAGGAATGCCCATTGCTCCCCATCGCCAACATGTACGTGAGCTATCTTCTGGATAAAGACATGAGTATGTACCCGGGATCTGTCAGGCACTCTGGTATCAATCTGGGAGCCCAGAATTTCGTCAGTCCGCCTCAGTACCCGGACTACACTGGGTATCACGTCCCCGGGGTAAACCTGGACAATCACCCGCAATCCTCCGGATCCTGGGCTTCTCCTTACGCTCCCGCCCGGGAAGACTGGAGCGCCTACGCCGGACCTACCAACACGGTCCACGCCATCAACACCTCGCCAGGGACAGTGGGCTACAGCCCAACAGAGTATAACTTGGTTCATCAGACCCCGGGATCCGCAGTGATCCAACCTTTAAATAACAGTGCTGTGGAACAGCTTTCACCCAACAGCCAACGGCGCAACCCTTACCAGTGGATGAGGAAACCCACTCAGCAGCCATCGTCCACAGGTAAGGTTTCTTGAGTTTCAAGTCAAGTCAAAATGCCTCCCCATTTTCACAAGTGCCTTTAGTGATTCCCACCCCCTTTCCCTTCTGTGGCTTCACAACAGCGCACAGGCCATGAGCGTAAGAGATCTGCAATGCTGTTTCGCACAGTATCCGAACACATCCGTTTCTCGAGAGAAAACTCCTTGAATGGTCTCACCTCCTCATAGGGGAAAAGAGGGGGTTTCTGATCGCTGGCTCTCTCTGCCCAAAGGGTCAGATCTTGGGGAGTAAACGATGATAAAATAGTAAATGTTAATCCTTTTGCATTTTGACGTAGCGCCTTCTCACGTCGCGGAGACGTCTGAAAGCGCTTCACGGAATATTCTGTAAAGTGAGTTAGTGTATATTTTGTGGGTCAAGTCAAATGCGAGTGTGTTTCCCCACAGCGAGGGTCGGTGATCTGCTTCCTTCTCCATTTATATTCTTTATACAACAACCCCCCCCCCCCTCAGATATTTACCCCCTCGCAAGGTTAACTGAGCACAGCTCTTGTGAATATTGTCCACGCTTTGATCTCACCGAGTCTCTATGGTTGACTAAGGTACAGGCTTCACCCACAGACTGGACTCGCTAAGAATTAACAGTTTTCATTGCTGCTCAAATGTGCTGAAAGCCCAGTCTCTCTCTTTCTCTCTCTCTCTCTCTCGTCTCTTGTTCTGGCTCTCTTTGTCAGAATCTGTACAACTCAGTATTAATGATGTTTGCCTTCAACCTCAAGTTTTCTTTTCGGTAACTTACTTTTTAAGAACTGTTGAAAATCGTGGTTCTGCTGAAATTCCTTGTAACAGCACTAAATAGCTTTTCAGCTGAAGGCAGCCAACGCCTCTCCTCGCCTTGATAGACCCTGAAACAGCCTTGGAGGAGAAACCTTGGGAACCACTGGTCGGATTTATCAATAATCTATTTATAATAAGTATGATTCTCCGCTAATGTGTCACGAAATTAGGGTTGAACACTAACACTGGTGATATCGTGAAGGAATGATTGGTTTCTATGAGGCTGCATTTTATTATCTGAAAAGTTCTTGTTCAGTGGATGTATTACACTGGCTGGCAAGCAGTCTTTAAATGATTAGATAGTCGCTACTTTCTCAAGTAGACACAAGCTGTTAGTGAGACAACATTATTAATGTGCAAATGAATGGTCGCACGGATTTTAGTGGTGGTTATTTCTGCTGCTTTCCTTCGCCTTCATTAACATCCTGATAAGGCTGTTAACGTGTACAGACATACTATAATTGCAATAATTTCAAACCCTGTTATCGACACTCGAAGATTTTATAACCAATTTCGGCCATATAAATCACTGAACAGTGGCGACTGACAATTGTTTCTGAGTCATTAAGCAAATACTTTTATTAGTGTCCGCTATTTCCAAGCACTAAACAACTATATTCCATTATAAATAGCCAATCTGAAAACTTTTACCACTCATACAGTAACGGAGAAGGACTTCCACACGTTGGCTTAGCTCTGCCTCATCACTCTGTGTGTGTGTGTGTGTGATTTTGACACATTGAAATCTCACATCTTCGCTGCTCATCTCACTGAAAAGTCTTTCTAAAGACTCTATCATAATATTCCGGTAATTTCAAAATAAGTAAACAATTGATCTGAACCCAAATTAAGTTTATTGTTTTAAATTTTAATGCATTTCACTGGAATGGTAATAGCTCTTTATAGGTGCCATCTTTTAGAAAGTTACACTGACTGGTCTCGGGACCTGAGCTCGAATCTGTCTGTAAGTCCGGGTTCGTCTGCAAAATAAAACACGTCGCAGGGAGGAAGGAATTGGGAGGGTTTGGTGAATGCAGCTGAAGAGATGAAGGGAGTGTTGCTTCATTGCTTTCCAGGTTTCCGACCTCCACGGCAGAGCGAGACTCCGACTGGAGTGAGTGAGTGAGTGAGTGAGTGGATGAACTTGTAGTTGCGGCTCTGGTTACAGGTCAAACACACTAAAAAGTAAAATGTGTAAACTAGTAAACACGAGAAGAGAGAGGCAGCACGGCTAGGCGCCGGCCTCACTTGTAATGTAAATGCATTTTAGCCCGAAGACGTGCTCTGTGAGTCGAGATCTGTTTTAAGTTCCTCTCTGCAAACTGCATACTGATTGCTGAGCTCTTCTCTGTGTCGTGACCTTTTTAACACACGGCTGCTTTGATGTACACCTTCTCGATCAAACCCGACCCTATTGTCCAGTGTATCTGCCGGAACAGGGCGGCGAATTTCGCAGTAAATAAAGAATTTTGACATTTCTCCACGATATCCCATTCAATTCCCAGGCCACCGGGAACGCACGATGCGAGTTACTTTCCACATTGCGCTGCGTTATCTCCAGCAATATTCCCTCCCCAGCAGAAATGTGCCCGTCAAAATCCCGACAAAAGCGCACTTGCTTTGGTTAATTTTGAAAAAAAAATGTTGCATTAGTAAGTCGAGTCTTAGACATCGGAATAATAACCAGATTTGCCAAAGTTAACAGAGGTGTTTCGGTTACAAGGCCAAGAGACCTAATTCGGTACTTCAAAGGTGAAATGCGACCCAGTTCTCTTTGGACGAGTAATACATAATTTCGCAGAAAATAAAAGGCAACACGACCGAAAACACCAGTGGTTACAAATACCCCATTCTCCCCCTTTTTTAAAAAAAATCTGCACCACGACCTTTTATTTTAACTGAATTATTTTCGTTTTTGTCCAGTTGTGTGAGTATTAAAACAAGCAAAAGGAGTCCTTTTTTATTCTATCCTTTTTTTTAAAAAGAGTGCTTACGTTTTTACCTTTATTATTTTTGCCTTTTCAATTCTATAAAGAATCATCGGGTAACATCGAGAAAAATACAAGTCAAGTAGTTACGATCGTTATTTGGGGATCATTTAAATGATTGAAATCGTTACTACACAATGAAGAGTGATGTGATCGATTCGTTCAAACGTTTCTGAATTTCAAAAAATGCCCGAAATATCTTTCCTCCTTCTCCCGAGTCAACCCATAGCTTTGAAGCATTGGGGTCTCCCCATTGAAATTCGTCACATTCTTATCCCCTTTAGAAATGTGGGGTTTTTTTTTACATGTAAATGCACTGGAGTTTCATGAAAGGTCCCGCCGCCACTTGTTCAAAGAGTAATGATTCAAACAGAATTGGGGCTGTTCTTCCAGCATTGAAAAAATGTCTCTTTGATAAGGTCGCCTTGTACTTTATTATTCGAGTTGTGTTCTCTTTGTTTACAGTTTTCCCAGATCAGACGTGTATCTTCACGGGGTACTTTTGTTGCGGGTTTTGTCAAATTACCTGAACAAAGTCAAAAGCCTTGCTGGCCGTGAGCACCTCACAGGCAAATCCCTGCGTTAAAAAAACATCGCCCTGATGGGGAAGTGCAATCGATATCCACATTCCAGAAACTCGCAGATTTTTAAACTCAAAATCCGCGTTTCAATTAAAAGATCTTTTCACTCGATCGCAGTTTTGCTGCACGTACTCAGTCGCGCCCACTCGCTCGTCTTGTCCTGTTCCTGGGAGGGTAGATTTTTTGGAGAGTTGTGCGTAAAAAAAACAAGGTAGACGGTCATGTATTTTAAATGAATCCCAATTAAAGACGTTTCACTCTGTTGGGTTTTTTAGATTTATAACCGCTATTTATTTTCACTGCGTAGTTGGCACTTTCCTGCAAAAAATGCATCAAATATCTAATGGCCCCGTATCTCAACGGGCATCGTTTTAGTCTTAATTTTCACCATTGGCTTCGGGTGTTATTTGGGGCTGGAGAGCCCTTTTCTTGGTTGGATCAAACGCGTACGAGATGAACATTTAAGTCCCGAACATTTGTCGCCTTCAATCTGACCACCAGAGATGGTTTGGAGATATTGTTTCACACTGTTATTCAAAGATTGTTCTCCTGCGTCACTCCCGAGGAAAATTAGCTTTGCGAAGAGCCAATGAATATTATTGTGAGGTGATTATTTTATCTCGTGTTCCAACTTTGATGGAAGAGTTTGCCGAAATACTTTCTGCTCCGCGTCAAGACAGTTTTGTGAGCGAGGATGGGCGAAAAATGCACCTGTTCCAATGCAGAAACTCTGTATTTTTTTAAAAACATTAACGAAATCAGACAGCTTTCCAAAATTAATGATCATCTTGAGGCTTAAGTATGATCGTTTGGATACGATGGACAACTTTAATATGAAGGTTATTGATTATTTGCAACCATTGCAAGCGTGTTGAAAAGTAATTATAGTAATAATCCTGGCATTTGGTATTAGCGCCTTTTATCATTTCGTTGGGAGACATCTCAAAACGCTTCACAGAATATAGTGTCAAGTGGATTTGACTTGTGTATTTTGAGGGCGAAATGGATGAACCGGTTAATTGGCTCGTCGGATGATCCCGAGCAGTTGCGGAATTTTTATTCCAACAATCTCGTCTGGTCTTTTAGAGGAATTATTTGATGAAGGGCCCAGTAAAAGGTGTGCCTCACGCTTCTAACCTGAACTAATGTGAAGTTGTAAAGGAGATACTCACCAGTCGTAAAAAAGGAAATGGAATTGGGAGGATGAGGCAAGGCAAAGGGAAATGTATTTTACGATACTCTGTAGGTTCATCCAGGCGGCTGTTGTTTTTGTGCCAGGGTTAAACATCTGGGCTTGGCTATCGATTGACCTCTTCAACCTTTTATTCTAATTTGCAAGGAAGATCTACTTTTCTTTTTACGATGTTATGTCCTACAAATAAATCTTCTTTATCTACGGCCACTTTGCCTTGGTGGATAAAATGAAGATCTTATTGGATCAGTGGTCTTGTTTAACCTCGCCCTTGCTCCAACAAATCACTATGTTTAAAAGTCTACAAGTACAAATCAAGCGAGAAGATGCGTAACATACACAAAGACTGAATAATCACCAACTCTGTGGAACATGTGGACTTTACAGAGTTGACATGTTTAGGAAGCTCTTCATGATCAATTAATATTTAATGGGAGTTGTTTTTCAGGAACAGTTCAAGAGCAAGAATATTGTGGGTTTCGTCACCACAACAAACCAAATCAATGGACACTCGACAAACTTTATGGTATATTTAATCAAATATATATATACATAATAGTGATCCATGTTATACATGTAGTTATAAGTCTATCTGTACATTCATTGGTTAAATTGTAAATCACTATTTAAATAGCATCAACAATTCAATAGTATTTAAAAGTAGGTCAATAGATAGCATCATAACATAGCGTTCTGTTCATTTTTAACCAGGTGCCGCTTTTTATTTACAGAAAAAACAAGAACAAAGGATAAATATCGGGTGGTGTACACAGATCACCAGAGGCTGGAGTTGGAGAAGGAGTTTCATTATAACCGCTACATCAGCATCCGTCGTAAAGCTGAGCTGGCGGCCAACCTGGGGCTGTCTGAGAGGCAGGTCAGTCAATAGTCATACAACAAAATCCAGGTCAAATAACCTGCCCTGCCACCCAAAGCCTTCCACAGTCTAAACCATCAACGAAGCTCTTTGTGAACATCAGTTGCTGTATTATTTTCGCTGCCCATTTCTCCTTCTATCTTGTGCAAAACGTCCAGGAAAGGGGGGGGTTTCATAAACTCCTTTTCCAGATGTTGGCATTTGTTCTTTAAAACGTTACCTTGTGTTTTTTGCCTGATACTAAATATTTTAAAAGATGAATTGTGTTTGATGGAATGATACAATTTATAGCAGTTAAAGTGTCATATTTTGCCTTTGAGGCTATGTTGGCTATATTTTCTTACAAAATACACAGTGGCTGCACTTTGCAATAAAATCATATGAAGCACTTTGTGACCTGATCTGAACTATATAACTGTATTGCTGCATATCAAATGGAAGAATTGTTCTTTTTAAATACTTTGGTGTTATTTTTAAACAAAACACAGAGATGAGAGATTAATTACAAAGAGAGACTATTTTCACTGATAGGGAGTGAGTAACAAAACATCATACATTCAGAATTATCTTCAGAAAAAAAAGAGGGATGTTAGAAAAATCTATTTTTCACAGATGGCTGTTAAAATACGGAATGCCTTGCTGTAAACTTATATTTGAGTTCATAAGCGTATTTAAAAGGGAATTTGATAAATGTATTAAATTGCATGGGGAAAGAGCAGGGTAATAGGATCAGAGGATATAGCTCCAGCGGGGAACCAACACAGACAGGATGGGCCAGAAAGCCTTTTTTCTGTGCTTCAGAATAGTTTAAAAAAATAACTCTCCATCAGAGCCTGTTTGTCAATTAGCACCAAATTACCCAGTTATATCAAAACTAAGGAAAGATTGATTTTTTTCATTCTTTCCAGAAATATTATGAATATATGGCAGCGAATCTAACATTCTGTAATAATAATAACCCTTGCATTTAATACAGCACCTTATATGTTGGAGCCGTCTCAAAGCACTTCACAGGGTATGCTGTAAGGTGAATACTGTGTATTTTGTGGGCTAAGCTGGCAACCAATTGTGCACAGCAATGTCCCATAAACAGCCATAGAGTGAATGATCACTTTTATTCGGGGGTTTGTTGGTCAGCACACCGGGAGAGAGAAACTCACTTCTCTTTTCAAGTATGCCATGGGATCGTAAACATCCACCTGAACAAGCAGAAGGGGCCTTGGTTTAACATCTCGTTGGATTCATCTCATTCTGCTAATATTATGATATTAAATGAACTGAACTGCATTTCTCAATGTTAGGAAATAATACAATCAGAACCGCGTATATTGGGGTATGATATGGTTATTAAGAGGAACGTAGCAGGTGATATTATTATCAACGCCGTGCCGTGTTCCTCTCCCCACAGCACACCCCCACCAACCCCCAACATGTATTTGCTACCAAAAAAGTAACAATCTTTGAAACGATATCTTATTTGTATTCATCCAGTCAGAGAAGGAAATATATTCTTTTCTTTAGTTCGTAAGTTTCCTAAAGTAGCAGGTGAGCGAAAATGATCACAGGTTGATGTATCGAAGCTCAGAGAGTGATACGGAGAGAGATGGGTGGAAACGTTAGCTTATTCAGCTAAAAATGTTTTCTTCACCTAACTTAAATAAAACTTGTAGCAGAATATCAGACGAAATATTTCATGGGTAAATTATTTGTAACATCCAAGTGTGGAAATGGTTCAAATGTATCTGCTTGGCTTTTTGTATTAAAAACACATTTCCCCCCTGTGTACACTTGACTGCCATCGATTCTTTTCAAATTAATCGAATTGATGGCAAAGACGCATAGTTAAAGACGATTTTAAAGCTTTTTTTTTAACCCCCACCATTTCTGATTTTTTTTAAAAAAAGGTAAAGATCTGGTTTCAAAACAGAAGAGCAAAGGAGAGAAAGATGACCAAAAAGAAATTACAACAACAGTCTCAGCATGGCTCAGCTCCGACCCCGCCTGGGACAACAGCTTCTCTCTCAGCTGCTAATGGTGGGCTTCTGGCTGCTAATGGTGGGGTCTTACCGGGAACCATCCCTCAGTGAATGTGTCTCCTCTTTACTCAGCTGTAACAGCACACAGATAATCACAAAGAGACAAGAGGAGGCAAGAGGACTCTTTAAACGAGGGCTCTGAATTCTTCACACGTGTCCAACCAAAACTTTTGACAGCACTCCATTCCCAAGGAAATATTTTGAAAACTTTTGAACTTTTTTTTTAAAAAAAACTTTCTTTTGTGTGAATATTTTATTCTCGACTACGACAACCAGCAACTACAGGAATCTCTGAAGGACACTGACGATTTGCCAGCGTAATGTTACTGACTGTAATTTTGATCACTTGTCACCTTCTATCCGTGTGTTTCAGTTTTTAATACAGTGAATTATTCCATATACTGTATCGCAGTTCTTAACGTTAAGTCTTTGTCTGGTTTTGCGAGATGCTATCAGATGCACTTCTGGTACCAATGGTGAAATGGAAACCTGATCTGGCTCTACGATTGTACTGTACTTATTTCCTTCATTGTTTTACTTTCCAATGTATATACATTCGATATATTCCCCCACTCTCCTTAAAGACCGGTTTGTAAATCTAAACTGCCTGTAACCAGGTCCGATTATTATACCAGATTTCCAGCATCTGCAGGACTTTGCTTTCGGATTATGAGTAAATAGATTTTAAAGGTTGATTTCTGAAGGACAGAGATCATAATTAATATTACTGGATGCTGGGCTTAATTGTAAATTATCAGTGAATGCAGCCCATTCATATTATTATATACTTGCTCTGTGGTTTTGAAGTTGCTAAAAAAACATCCATTTGGGTTGCTTTGGGAACAGAGAAAAGAGGACTTCTTGGAAGATAATGGATTGGTTTTACAATAGTGCCATCATTCCACAATTGATTTAACGATCTGCTAATGTTTCATCTTTTACTGCACAGCAAGATCCCTGGATTTTAAAACTGTTTAAAGGTTACAATTATAATGCCTCGAGCTGGTAATCAGCCTTGGGCCAGAGTGCGGAGCCTGTTTACAGATTACCTTTCATGTGATGGCATTAGATTGCCAACGGGTTAATAATATTCGTTGAAAACAAATGTAGAAAGTTGCATCTGTTGGGTTAGTATTCCGTTGTCTTTGTTGTTTGCTCGGTGGAGAAACACGTTTTCAAAGGCAAAAAAATTGGTACCAGCACAGAAGTGACTGCAGACCTGGTATTTAACCTTTTGTACTGAGTGATACCACAGTGCCCGCTGAGCGTATGTAAGGGAGTAGATTAGGTCAGACTATCACTTTGTTCATTGAACAGCAAAGCGTACTTTGATACTTCCTACATGCTATCGAATAAATAGAGCTAGATAATTGATCTTATTACTGATGAGTTGACTGGCGTTGCTATGCGTTGCTGTGAAACGGGGGATCATAAACTGCCTTTGGTGACAGACCTGAACAGGAGGGCTGTTTGAACACTGGTTCCAGGGCAAAAGTCAGCATTGTTCTGCTGGGGACCTTTTGAAAGTCGGCGATGCAAAGTCGGAACAAAATATGAGCATCCATACATACAAGGGAAGTGGCGAATCATACAAAGTACCGCAAAACATCATAAATTAGGGGGAGGGGCGGTTTATTGGGGAGGAGGTGTGAAGATGACTTTGGATGAAAGAGTGTACAATTGGAGTACACAAAGACCCAACCGTCTCGCTACTAAATAAAAATGTAATATTGCTGGCAGTTGTCCACTTTGTTCCATAATGTCCACTCCTTCGTCAATCAGGTTATTAATAAACAGGCTCTTGACATAAATAAGCCTGGAGTGTTACTGCAACATTTAGGGGTTAACAAAATAAATAAATGAAAAGCTTGAGTTCATCTTGTCCTCCTTTCTGGGAGTAATATTGTGATTCTAGCCTCTGATAATCCATTACGGTTCAATTCCCGAGAGCTGACACCCTGTTTGTGTTACCTATTTCTCACAATTATTTTACAGAAATTTTACTTTTACTACTATTTAATTTAATTTATTTCTTTGCTTCTCCTGAGGCTATTGACTCATGTTGGATTAAGGTTTCACGGACACTTGTACCTCGGTCAATAATACTGACAATTTGGCACGACTGTGCCTAAACTAGTAAGTGGTGGTGTGACTATGGCAGGTATCTGTGCTCAAAGTGACCAGCGAATGATTGTGGTTACAGCCTCCAGGGGTTGCTAACATACAGCAATTAGGGGTGATATTTTAAGGATTGTGACACAAAACTGATAGCAGACAGCCAGTGAGAGCAGCCAAGAAAATAGTTGCGATCCCACATCTGAGAGCAATATCAGGGAGTTTGCAAGTAAATATTAGCTTTTAAATTAGCGTAACCTTTTAGAATCACACTTATAATTTTGTTTTTACAATTTAAAAAATGTCCTCCCTTTTCATTTTTGTTTCACAAGTTCGAAAGGTTTGCTCTGCTCGGTTTGCCTGCATAAAATCATGTATTAATGTCGTGTTCTTCGCGTAGAATAATATCTCAAAAGCGAGTTACAGAGAGAGATCGGGTGGAACACGGAGCAGAGGAGGGGGAAGGGAAGGTAGTCAAATGTAGACTGTAGGTAGTCAAAGAGGCAGGTTTTTAAAGTGGTATCTAAAGACAGGTAGAGAGGGGCGAGTCAATGTGGCAGAGGGAGGGAGCTCCAGAGATTAGGTGTGTAGAAGCTTATGGCTCGGCCACTGGTAGTGACACAAAAAGGGTGGGGATGTACAGCAAACCCGAGTTAGCCAATCGCAGGTAATGAACAGAGCAGTAGGAGATAGAAGGGATTTAGTCGAGGGTACAGACCTTGAAATGGAGCTGCAGGGAGACACTGGAGCCAAACAAGCATTTTTTTTGTGGTCCGCATGCATTGGGACGTGAAAGGCGCTATACATACACATGTCATTTTGTATGTTTGTATTGTAAGTTGGGTATATGGGAGTTGGAGTTTTGGATACGTTGATGCAGCTCGGGAGACGAGCGAGGAATACATTTGGAAAGTCCAGGCAGGAAGCAATCAAAGAGTTACCAAGATAAAAGAGTGTTGGCAGACTCACTCCATGGCAATTTGTGGGACATTGCTGTGCGCAACTGGCTGCCACGTTTCACCCACAAAATACACAAGTGCATCTTATTTTCTATATTCCTGTAATTACATTAATAATGAGCATCATCTAGTTTAGTCAGCTTTATACAATAAAAAGCTGACTACTATAAAAAGCTGACTAAACTAAATGATGCACTAATTTATCATGTTGTTGAGACATTTCAAAGTGCTTCACAGAATATACTAAGACTCATAATAATAATAATTCTTGTATTTGATATAGCGCCTTATCGCGTTGAGACATCTCAAAGCACTTCATGGTACATGATGTAACCCGTTGTTCTTCTGTGCATTTTGTGCATGAACACAGCCAATGTGTTCACAGCAATGTCCCACAAACAGCCAAGGAGTGAATGACCAATCTTATTTGAGGAATTGTTAGCCAGGACGCTGGGAGAAACTCCTTTCTCTTTTCAAATTGTACCACGGGACCTTTAACAACAACAAGATTACATTTCCATAGCGCCTTTCCCACCGGGAGGATGTCCCTTTAACGTCCACCTGGACAACACTTGGGACCTCATCTTAAAGCTTAATCTGAAGGATGGCACCTCCAATAATTCAGCACACCCTAGTACTGTATTGGAGCATCAGAATAAATGATATGGGTTCCAAGTCCAGATGTGGAGCTTGATTCCACAATCTTCTGACTCGGAGGCAAGAGAGCCACCAACTAATCCAGGCTGACACATGGAATCATACAAATTTACAGTGCGGATGATACCATTTGGCCCATTGAGGGCATCATAATCAAACTTGATCCTTTCCTCACCCAATATCAGCACACATTTTTCAATAGGGGTCATCTGATAGCAACTAGGAGCAAACCTTGATATTCCCCTCTGCACACAGTCCAAGGGCAATTTTAGTACCTAAACTGATAACTACATATTCCAACACAAATCTACCAAATCTGCATGTTTTAGCGCTGAACTTAGGAATGTTTTTAACAGTGAAGAACCTCACAGCAAATTTTGTTCAATTAAGGCTAGTGGGGGTATTTGTGCCTTTCAAAGTATGCATTTGATAGGCTAAAATTGGGTACATTTATTTAAATTATACTAATTTTCACCTGACACAACAGAATATGTTAATTAACCCCACACTTATGCGAGCTGCTTGTGAGATAATCTGCAAATACCTTTAGTAAAAAATAGACAAAAGTTTAATGTCATCGACATCCTCAGCGAACGAGCCAAAACCTTCCTCTGAGACTTGACTCCAATACCAAGGATGAGAGCATTGATTGGATCTCCTCCCGTCTCTACAATTTCCCTAAATTCGCCCCATTTCCAGTTGTTCCTTGATGCTCTGTCTTTAATGGCCAGGAACTCATTTACCACAGGTAATTTCTTTCTTGTCCTCCTTACTATCTTATATTGCCTTTACTCTGCTTTGCGTTTAACTGTGTCGCAAGAACATAATTGTGGTATTCTTGTTAGAAAAGGGGACACGTTTACAATAAAATTAAACTTCGACCACTCATGGTATAGAATAAATATTCAGCCCAGGGTCGCTCACCACAGTCTCAGTCATCGTGTTGCTCCATACAGCTCATTTCAGTATGTCAAAAAAGTGGCAACCAGTTTATCATCAACACAGTAGATGCTAAAAGTGTACATGGATTGAGTATGAGCTGGCTCATAAAGGATTAAAGAAACACTAGCCAGATTAGTGGCTGCTTTTCCTGTCATCGTCATTAATATTGCATCACAGCCAGTACATTGTTTTCCATGTACTCTTAGAAACATAAATTATTTATAACACGGTTTTAAAAAGAATCCCAAGAAACGGTTTAAAATACAATTTACGTTTTATGTGTTCAAAAATCGTGATTTTTTTTTGAAAAATGCTGATTTAAAAAGAAACTAGAGAATCTACTTGTGCCTGTTCGTCAGCTGCTCATACCGGTGTCACCCAGCAGGTGACGATATTACACAGTGCACTGCAACACACACTGACTTTGATTGAAAGATTCTAAAGGAGAGTGTTTCTGGTCTGCAATTTATTATCGATTGTAAATAGTATTTCATCCCCAAATGAACTAGTGGTAACGGAAACTTGTGAGCTACAATAATGTTGATATCTGGTCACATGTCTGTGGGAAAACAAGACATACCTGCAAATTAATTTTTAAAAATTGATCACCCTGGTATTTGCCACGTGCAAAATCTCATCACCATGCTTCAGGGTATTCTAACCAGCCACAGACTGGAATCAATAAATGCCAACTACTCATGGAAATTTAAGTAAATAATCATTGTATTTTATATAGCAAGAGAATGCCTCGAGTATAGTGACTGTGCATTTTGTAGGCAAACACAGCTTGAAACACACCTTGGAGCCAACACAGACCCTAAATAATCCTGCTTATCTATCTTTATGAGAATACTCACCAGTTGGTCAATAAATGTCTGACAAGCGCAGGTTTTAAGATCCTCCACTTTAACTGCACCTCCCCCCTTTCCCCAGCTTGAAATCAAGCTCCACTACTGTTAAGTGCTCCAAAACACTACCCCCGCCATAAGGGCACCATATAAACACACTATATGAAGTTGTTGTTTGAACCTCCACTTGAATAATAGTAGTAATAATAATAATCCTTACCTTTTGATATAGATCCTTTCACGTCAGCAGGATATCCCAAAGTGCTTCACAGGAATCATTGTAAAGTGCAGTGACTGTGTTTTGTGGGCCAATTTGCACACATAGTATCTCACAAACAGCCATGAAATGAATGACCAATTGTATTTGGGGGAGTATTGGCCAGAACACTGGGAGGAATTCCTTTCTCTTTTTGAATCCGGCCTGCTACACATCCCCCGCCCGACCCACCCCACTATTGGTGGTCGAGCCTTCAGCTTTTCTGCCCCCACCCTTTGGAACTCCATCCCCCAGTCCCTTCATCTTGTTCTATCACTTATTTTCGACTGCGCATTCAGCCACCCTCCTACCCCTACCTTCCCTACCCTCCACCCCCCAGTCTCAACTCCCTGCTCATGTCCAAAAACCCTGACTGTCCAGACACCTTGGGCCATCCTCCCAACGTGAAAGGCACTATATAAGTGCAATTTGTTATTGTTGTTGTTGAATAGTGCCATGGGATCTTTAATGTCCACTTAAACAGGGCATAGACTGGGCCTCAATTTAACATCTCATCTGTAGGATGGTTCTGCTAGCAATGCAGCACTTTCCCAGCAGTGCTTTAGGGTGTCATTTTAGACTAGGATAGCGAGTACCGGATCTCCTGGTGAGCTACACTGTGTAACAACATAAAATGCATTAGAACATTATGCTTATCCTCCTGATCACAGTTAGGGCACACAACTATCCCTTGCTGGTGAACAATTGTTCCATCAGTTGCTATTCTATCAGCAGCAACTACATAAGCAAGGAACAACAACAGCAATGTCCATTATATAGCACCGTTCATGTCTCAAAGCACTTCTTACAACTGATAATACCAAGCCATGGATATATAAACCCTGGCTTCAGGAGCATCTAATTATTAAAAGTAACATATGCAACTCAACATTATGTGTTTAAACATTAATTACCTATTTAAGTTTTGCCCACAAAATACACAGTCACTCCACTTTAGAGTATATTCTGTGAAGCGCTTTGAGATGTCTCAATGACGTGATAAGGTGCTAAAGCAAGGATTATTATTATTAATTAAGTGCAGTCCTGTAACTCAGTGATTAGAGCACTCGCCTCGCAAGTAAGAGACCTGGGTTT